GAATTGCTACAGGCTACCTAAATGAGAGGGTGGATGCTCTGTCATTCACTATCAGCCTCTCCGCTTAAATCAGCTTGTGTATTTCATAGAGATGCTTGATAGAGTGAGCATGAGATAGCAGGAGCCGACCTGTTCCACTTTAAACAACCGTAAATGTTTTTAATACTTTCTTTAGCCCCCAGCTGCCTTCTCTGTCAGCTTTACACAAAATCAGCAGAAGACTTTCACAGCCAGTTAATTCCTCTTCTCTTCTCCCTTCTGGCTCTTAGTAGTAACTGAAAATATAAATCCAGTTCATACGTTTAGAGAGTCAGTGGCCCCATTTTAGTGATAGAGCAGCAGGAATGCAAAGTGGCCTTGCCACAAGGCAGGGGAGCAGGCAGGCAGCCTGTATGCCTGAAGGACCATCCTCAAAGAAAAAAAATTGCATTTGGCTGTAGTTGTGGAGGCTAGGTTCAGGGAAGATTGAGATATAGGGAACTGAAGTAGAGAGGGGCAAGATCTTGCCTGAGCAAATCCAGTAGGGGGAATTGTTTCTTTTGTCACTGATCCTGAATTAACCACATGTGTTTTGCTTCCTCTTCCCACTCAATCTTGTATTTGTGCAGTAGGGAGGCAACATGGGCAGTAAGAAAGCATAAACACATTATTTGCCTTACTTTCATAAGAGGTCTACAGCACAAGGCAATGAATAACAGTATTGGAAGGGACCTTGGAGGTTCAATCCCCTGCTCAGGCAGGAAGTCCTATATCAGTGATGGCTAACCTTTTTGCCATCGCATGCCAGGAGGGGTGGGTGGGGGAGGTTCGTGCACACACACCCATAATTCTATGCGCCCCGCCCTGCGCGCGTAACCCCTCCTTCCCCCCCGCTCCTGGCACACGATGGCCCGGTAGGCCCATTTTTCTTTCTCACCTGGCTCCAGATCTTCTCTATGCATCTGGGGAGGGCGAAAACAGCCTTCCCCACTCCCTCGGAGGCCCTCCGGAGGCCTGAAACGCCCCATTTCCCAACTCCCGGTTGGACAGGAAGTGATGTTTTTTGTTGTCCCCAGCCTCCAGAGCTTCTCTAGGAGTCTCTGGAGGCTGGGGACAGCAAAAAAGTCACTTCCTGTCCAACCGGGAGTTGGGAAATGGGCCGTTTCAGGGCTCCAGAGGGCCTCCGAGGAGGTGGGGAAGGCTGTTTTCGCCCTCCCCAAATGCATAGAGAGGATCTGGAGCCAGGTGAGAAAGAAAAATGGGCCTTACCCACCCATCCCCAGGCCTCCTGGAGGCAGGAAACAGCTTGTTTCCCTACTTCTGGTGGGCCCAGAAGGCCCGAAAATCAGTTGGCCGGTACGTATATGCACGCCATAGCTGAGCTGGTGTGCCCACTGATATGGCTATGCATGCCACCTGTGGCACACATGCCATAGGTTTGCCATCACGGCCCTATACGATTTCAGACAAATTGTCGTCTAATCTCTTCTTAAAAACTTTCAGTATTGGAGCATTCACAGCCTCTGGAGGCAAGTTTATTTTATTTTATTTTATTTTATTGAATTTGTATACCGCCCTACTCACTCAGGGCGGTGAAGAGCCATAGAATAAAACATATAAATACAAAATTTAAAATAGAATAAAACGAATTAAATAATTTGGCTGAACAAATTTAAAACCCCAATGATTTAAAACCAAATTTAAAATTTCCATTTAAAAAGGGGAAAACTTAGGTCAGGCCAGCTTGATGAAATAAAAAAGTCTTGCGTGCGCAACGGAAGGTACGCAGATCCGGGATCCTCCGTATCTCCGGGGGAAGCTCGTTCCAGATAGTAGGTGCCCCCACAGAGAAGGCGCTCCCCTTGGGGGCCGCCAGTCAACATTGTTTGGCCAACGGCACCCAGAGGAGCCCCTCTCTATGGGAGCGTACTGGTCGGTGGGAGGCTATTGGTGGTAGCAGGTGGTCTCGTAAATAACAGGTCCTAAGCCATGGAGCACTCTCAAGGTGATAACCAAAACCTTGAAGCACACTCGGAAGACCACCGGGAGCCAGTGCAGCTCGCGCAGGAGAGGCGTTACATGGGAGCTCCACGTCGCTCCCGTCACCACCCGCGCGGCTGCACTCTGCGCCAGTTGAAGCCTCCGAGTGCTCCTCAAGGGCAGCCCCTTGTAGAGAGCGTTACAATAGTCCAGTTGTTCCAGTGATTAATTGTTCTAACTGTCGGGAAATTTCTCCTTAGTTCTAGGTTGCTTCTCTCCTTTATTAGTTTCCTTCCATTCCTGCCTTCAGATGCTTTGGGGAATAGTTTGACACCCTCTTCTTTGTGACAACCCCTTAGATATTGGAACACTGCTATAATTCATTTTATTCGATTTTAAATTTTGTATATCTATGTGTTTTATTTCATGGCTGTGCACCGCCCTGAGTCCTTCGGGAGTAGGGCGGTATAGAAATTCAATAAAATAAATAAATAATGTCTCCCCTAGTCCTTCTTTTCATTAAACTAGACATACCCAGTTCCTGCAACTGTACTTCATATGTTTTAGCCTCCAGTCCCCTAATAATCTTTGTTGCTCTTCTCTGCACTGTTTCTAGAGTCTCCATATTTTTTTTACATTGTGACAACCAAAACTGGATGCAGTATTCCAAGTGTGGTCTTACCAAGGCATTATAAAGTAGTACTAACACTTTATATGATCTTGATTCTCTCCCTCTGTTAATGCATCCTAGGAGTGCATTGGCTTTTTTGGCAACTACAGCACACTGCAGGGTCATATTTATGTGATTGTCCACTAGGATGCCAAGATCCCTTTCACAGATACTACTATGGAGCCAGGTACCACCTGTACTATACCTGTGCATTTGGTCTTTCTTGCCTAAATGTAGTACCTTACTTTTTTCACCATTGCATTTCATTTTGTTAGATAGCATCCATTGTTCAAGTTTGTGAAGATCCCTCTGTATCCTAAACCTATCTTCTAAAGTGTTAGCTATTCCTGCCAGCTTGGTGTTGTCTGCAGATTGGATGAGTTTCCATCTATCCCCTCATCTAAATAATTGACGAAGATATTGAAGAGTATTGGGCTTAAGACAGAACCTTGGGGTTCCTCACTGCTTACTTCCCTCCATGTAGATGGAGTTCCATTGAGGGCTGCACATTGAGTGCAGTTGGTCAGCCAGTTACGAATCCAACGAGTGGTGATGCTATCTAACCCACATTTTTCTGTTTTATCAAGTAGTAAGTTGTGGTCTACTTTATCAAATGCCTTACTGAAGTCCAAGTAAATTATATCCACAGCATTTTTCTGGTCCATTAATTTTGTCACTTTGCCAAAGAAATGGACTGGATAGTCATAGTCATATATTTGGGGGAATTAATATAATGAATCTACATTAAAATTCAAACTAAAACCTGCCTCTCTTCCCGATGCTGTAAACCTTCAGGACTTCATCCGCATTTAGAGAGCTGTGTGTGTGTAATGGGTATCATATGGTTACATGCGAAGTGTCAACAGTCCCTATGGCAAATGCAGCAAAAGAAACTCCTGGGACATTATTAGTATAACTTTACTAATAATTCCACATAGGCACAGAAAACGCAAAGCCAGTTCTGAAGTTTATGCATGCAAAGCAGCATAGGTAAAATCCCCTTTTCCCTCCTGGGCACCCACTATTCGTTGTCCAGTAATCAATTACAGTCAATTTGTTTTGGTCTGAGCATCTTGGAGCTTCCCCATCATTTGACATTTGGCACTAGGACATTGCTAGGTGACAGGCATTCCACAATTTCCCCCCAAGCCTCCCGTGCATTCCAAACCTGCTCTCCCCCTCCCTGTTTCTGTTGTCACTTGCAAGCGGGGTGCCTAGCGAGTCAGCCATGACACAAAGTGTGGGAGGGCAGGGAGAATGGCCTTGAGGAACAGGAGGACCAAGACAATAAAAGAGGACTAAATCCAGGACAGGAATGTAACCTGAGTAAATGCCTCAAATGAGATCTTCCATAGTTCTCACAAAGATAAAGAGTGGGAGGGGGCACACTCAGACTTGCAAGCCTCTGTTATTATAACTTTATAATGAAAACAGCACTTACTGTACCTACATGACATTTTATTTTAGGTCTACCTTAGCAATTACTCTGAATATCTCTGGTTTTGCTTTTTTTGCTTTGCTTCATTGGTTTTGTTCCTGAATATGCAAATATTACTTAGACAAAAGACTTAACAAGGATGAAGCAGTAGAGGCAACCTGTCTTGCGTCCTGTCTAGGTTAACTGTGGACAAAACAATGTTGAATTATCTAATATTTCCTTTTCATCTTGGTGTGAGGAGAAGTGTTTTCTGAGTGACAAAAAGGCAGATAGTGGTGCCAATCAAATCTCCATTTGTGAGGTAGTGTCATTACATCATGAGCCTCTGTGTTTCCTACAGCCAGAGCTATAATGCATATAAAATCACTGAGTGTCAAATATAAGCTTTTCACATGTATACATTTATTATAACAATGAAGCTTAAACAGCATGAAGTGGAAATGAAATAACAAAGTTCTGAGGGAAAATAAGAAGTTCTCATTTTTTTCTGGGTCTCATTTTTTTTATTTCCTTTAAGTAAGAGGATCACACATTGCTTTATATCAGATTCAGTTTTACTCTGTTTTCAACTTACCAAACAAATCATATTTTGATTTTATAAAAAGTGTGAATCTGTACTGTTTTTGTAAAAACTACCACTGGAGTCTGAAGATACGTGATCTTTTTGTTTTTGTTTTAATTATAAAGAGTTATGTTGGTCTCTTTCTAGCAACAAAGGAAAATATGTTGCTTTCTTTCTAGCAACACAGGAAAAAAATATGGCCCATTTGCAGTCTGAGGTAATACAGTCTGGAATTCTACCATGTTGTTAGCTTAATGCGGTGTAGACCAGATCCACCATGACGACAGAGAACATTATAAGAAAGAGAAAAGGGACAAAGTCCGGCAATAGTTCTGTCCCTCTCATAAGATCTGGTTCTGCCATCCCTTTAGGTGACTTTGAGCATCTTTGAACTGGCCACTGCTGCAGGACTCCCCTGTGACATCGACCCAGCCCTGGTCTCTGCACTCTCCAACCTGAAGAAAGGTAAGTATACAGCTTACTAACATTTATCTGGCTTGCCCCATTAAGATAAAAGTGTAGGGCTGCAGCATTCCTTCCTATATCATCTAGGCACGTTTCCAGATAGGGTATCTTTCCCAGCACTGGGAAAGATCCCCTATCTAGGAAACTTGCCTAGATGATACAGAAAGATCCTGTATCATCTAGCACTGGAAAAGATCCTCTTTTAGGGAATCTGTCCAAGCTGAGCATCAACTCAGCAAAAATATTTCATCTCTTGTCTCCAGGAACTGTCACTGCTTGGATGCCATTGCTGGTTTGTTTCTACTGAAAAGGCCCACTGCCAGATCGTAGCGAAGAAAATGCAGTTATGCTGCATTTTTAACTGTGCCTTTCTCAGTTGGCAGGGACAGTCTAGTATGTGTAATAAACAGTATTTATGGGTTCTGAACATCTCTGTGGGTGAGAGATATGCAATCTCTTACTTAGAGATTCGTTCAAACATGCATGGTTCTTGGCGATTTCCTGGATAAGTCCTTTGTGATTTTCCATGGCCTCCTTCCTAAGACTGAGAAAAAACTACCAGCCCAAGGTTATCAGCTGGCTTCATGTCTAATGGGGGACTAATATATTTAATAGATATTAGAGAGAGACATTGGGGCACATTTTTTTAAAAAAAATGTTTTTTATTTTCTTTTATTTCCTACTTTCAAAGCCTAGATAATCTGGGCAGATGGGATCAGAGTGGACACCTTCAATAATTGAAGGCACTAGAATGCTACAATAAGCAACTACAATTCCTGTGGAAGTGCATACTTTTCTTTGATCAGCTGATTAGCTGTATGACCAGCAGTCTTTTTTTCATCCTCCTTTGCTGCAACATAGGTCAGAGATGAACAGCAGCATCTTTGATCTTCACAGAGAAAAACCTATGATCTGCTTATTTTGCTTATAACAAAAATCACTATCTATCTATCTATCTATCTATCTATCTATCTATCTATCTATCTATGTTTTTCTTCTAGCCAGGTTTTCCCTATGTAACCAAGTTTTTTGTACGGAAAAACCTGGCTAGAAGAAAAACACACATAAACCCTACGAAGAAGTAAGAAAATTGATATATATATATATATATATATATATATGTAGGTCTTTGGTTATTCGGGTTTTCTCCCGCGTAAAATTGGAAACCCGCCCTTATTGACAAACGAGTCCCTAACACAAAGAATGACACCAGACCCACACTCACGAGAGCCACACAGGATGTAACCACCACACATCCACGCAGAAAGCAGACTCAAGCCCACACTGATGATGAGGCATGACCACGGACCAGAAGCCAGACCACAGCTGCATCATTAGCCACTTTAAACCCCTCCAATCCATACATGAAGCAGACTGACACCCACCATGGAGAGGTGGCACGGCCACGAACACGAAGCCAAACAACAGCAACACAGCTCACCAGCTCAAATCCCTCTGCTACTCAGACTAACCCGAGCACAACCAAGCCCCCACCTAAACAGAACACACACCCATCCAGTCAGAGCACAGCCAAACCCCCAACCAATCAGAACACACCTCCACCCAATCAGAACACAGCCAAGCTCCCACCCAATCAGTTCACACCCCCACTGGCAGTTAAAAGGAAGAAACAGCTGCGAACATACACATTGCTCCTAGAAGCATGAAGCCGAAAACACCAGCCTGAAGATGACGAATGAGACTTCATTGAAACGTTGCCAAGACACCTCCAATTTTACGCGGGAGAAAACCCGAATAACCAAAGACCTACATACAAATACCCTTGAAAACCTTATATTATATATATTATATTATATTATATTATATTATATTATATTATATTATATTATTATATTATATATTATATTATATTATATTATATTTATTATATTATATTATTATATTATATAACAAAAGAAGAAATGGCAGATCATCATCTTCTTTTTTTTTTTTTATTGCAAAAGTTTTACAATTACATTTTCACCCCTGAAAATCATCTTCTTATCTTACTCATCTTTCCTTTACCTTTTCCTATTGATATTGATATTGATATTGATACAGCCGTAAGAGCCGTAGTGGTGCAGTAGTTAGAATGTAGTATTGCAGACTAATTCTGCCGACTGCCAGGAGTTCGATTCTGACCGGCTCAAGGTTGACTCAGCCTTCCATCCTTCCGAGGTTGGTAAAATGAAGACCCAGATTTTTGGGGGTAATATGCTGACTCTGTAAACAAGGCTGTAATTAAGCACTATGAAGTGGTATATAAGTCTAAGTGCTTTTGCTATTTATCACTTGTTTGTATCTTATGATTTATGATCTATGATTTATCACTTCATTGCTTGCATGTACACTGAGAGCTTATGCACCAGAGTCAAATTCCTTGTGTGTCTAATCACACTTGACTAATAAAGAATATTCCATTCCATATTCCATCTTGTGAATGTAACAGCACAGCTGGCAGCGAGGGAAAAAGGAGCAGAGACCCAGCAGCTTCTTGGTGTGCCCATAAATCCTGCTTTCTCCACAAAAAAAACTGCTGTTCATACATGAAAGTATCTAAGCAAAACTACAGTCCTCCTATCATTCTATCAGTGGCTAAAAAGACAGTAATCATGCCCCTCTTTATTGCTTCTAAACCAGCTTCTGGCAATAGCCTTGTTCTGTCCTTCATTTTGACACGCCAGTGAAATGGACTGATCCATGTTCTATAACTTTCTCAGTTTAGAATTTCAAAAATGAAAATTTACTACAGTTTATGTTTTGCAAATGAAGATAAATATACATGTCCCAGGATAACGTTGCCAAGGCAGAGAATCTGAGTCAGTCACAAGAACTATAAGTTTATTCTTCCAAGTTTTCGGGCTTCTGCTGGAGCCCATCCTCAGGGAACTTCTCTCTCTCCAGAATATGTGCACTGGGCTGTTCTATGTAATGTATGTATATGGTGCCTGGTTGTGTGTAGATTTTAGTTCTTAATTGGGGTATTGATGACTGACTATTAAGTCATTGATAGTTGTATTCTTGTGCCAATATGCCCTCGGCTCCTAAGTATTTGATAAATTGGTGGTAAATCCGCACTCCTGTTGACTGACAAGGGCCCATTTCCCAGGCTGCAATCAGTTCTTTGGCTATTTTTGTTCCTCTTCAGACAACAATCTAGTAGCTGCGTAATTGAATGCATGTCCTTGTTCATTGCAGTGTGAGGCTACCAATGAGTTAGAGTCTCCTCTTTTAACAGCTCACTCATGTTTTCGCAGTGTGATGGTTAGCTTCCTCCCTGTCTGTCCCACATACTTGCAGGGGCAATCCATGCAAGGAATCTGGTAAATTACATTCAAAGTTTCTCCCACTTCCAAACGAACTTCGTAGTGCATGATTTGTCCTTGTATGGTAGCCTCTGGGCTGTGGGCGATGTCTTCTTGTAGATGTTGGAAGTTGCATTCTACTGCTTCTGTGTTTTCTTCCCTTGAAGGGTCCTTGGAGGTCTTTTAGTCCAGCCCCCTGCTCAAGCAGGAGAACCTGTATTATTTCATATAAGTGACTGTCTAGTCTCTTCTTAAAAACTTCCAGTGATGGAGCACCCATGATTTCTGAAGGCAAGCTATTCCACTGGTTACTATAATTGTCCTCACTGTTAGGAAGTTTCTCCTTTATTCCAGGTTGCTTCTCTCTTTGGTTAGTTTCCAACCATTGTTTCTTGTCCTGCCCTCTGGTGCTTTGGAGAATAATTTCACCCCCTCTTCTTTGTGGCAGCCCTTCAAATACTGGAATATTGCTATCATGTTGCCCCTAACTCTTCTTTTCTTTAGACTAACCAAACCCAAATCCCGCACGTTTTAGTCTCCAGGCCTTCGATCATCTTAGTTGCTCTACTCTGAAATTTTTCCAAGATCTCAACATCATTTTTGCAGTATGGTGCCCAAAATTAGTTGCAGTATTCCAGTATTAGTTGTGGTCTTACTAGGGTTTTATAAAGTGGTACTAATACTTCACATGACTTTGATTCTATGCCTCTGTATATACAACCCAGGATTGTATTAGCTTAACTTCCCTCCAGCTTTTAGGAGAGTCCCCAATGCAATTCCAAATTGCCTCAATATCTGACTGAACCTAATTTGAAAACCTGCGGGCTTCTTTCCGGTCCATCTCAAGATTGTAATTAAATGCAGACTCCTTGGCTTAAGCATTCAGTCATTCTTCCTATTTCCCTCTCTCTTTTCTTTACCATTTTTTTTTCTTCGTGAAAAGTTCTGGAGAGCAGTTTGAAAGCTTGCCTGCAATTTTGTGACCCTTTCTCAGAAAATAAGGACATTTTGTGTAAGGATAATGCCTAATATGGTTCTCGGAAAGGGTTTAACTGAGGGCAATGCTGTGCTTGCTTATATGCATTTCTTCTCTGCATGAGGAAGTAAAGAATCTGTTTTAAACTGATCTGCAAAACAGTGAATTTGATAGATCGGGGCTGCCATCTTCTTACAATCCTAATTGTCTTGAATATTTTCCTTTATCCTGTGTTGTACAGTATTTGTATTAACTAAGTGAGTTATTATTTCCCTGACGTCTGCCATGCTAGCTTCAAGCTGAAACTATGACTTCGTTGTAGTTTGTTATGCATCTTGCTTTTGCCTGGGGTGACTCCCTGCAAGCTTGCTTCCTTCCTGCTGGCTCGAGAAACCATAGTTATGTGGCACCATTTACCCGAAGTCACCTCTTCCTGCCACAATAATTACATTCCCAAGCCAATTGTGTAAGAAATCCTCCCCCCCCCCCCCAACATATATAGTACCATGACATGCTTGGATTAAATTATGGTTTGTTGAACAGGCAATAAGAAGAAAAAAACAACCCTGAGGGTTTTCAAATGAGTGGATTTACATATAGTCTCAAAAAGCACAATCCACATTAAAGTTTGGCAGGGCCTGTGAGCCCAGCCTCTTATTCCCTGAGGCTTCTCTGGCATCGCTTTGTATAATATGTGTCCTATCAAGGATTAGTGGGGCCTGAAGAGGGCAATGTTGATATTCATTTTATATTATGAACTGAATCAAATCAGCTTTCTCTTTCCTCTTGCATATACATGCTTACAAATACATAATCTGCACCAGAGAGGTACATTGGTCTCCCTCTCAGTCTAAGGAACACTAATGAGATGTGTAGAATTTATGGGAGGTTTTCCCCCTTCCCTCCTCTCCTGTCCTCCATCCCGCACCACCTATTATTCTAGCAGTGCCTTATTTGTATTTATTTCTTTATGATGCACATGTGTTGACTGAAGCAGAGCTGAGCAGTGTCCGTTCTGTTCAGCTAGTCAGCTCCTTCCATCAGTTAATTTATTGGCCTGTCAGAACCACCATATATATATATTTATTTTCCTTTCCTTGTTTTTCCCCTCCTTTTTTGGAGGTGGGGGCAAGCAAGCCTTCTGAGCAGCTGGAAAGGAAACTGCTAAAGTAAATCAGATTTATTTCTGAAATCTCATGGTGTACATCATCCTTTTTGTCTCCCTGATAGAAAGCTCATCCCCTGAGGAGGACTACAAGACAGCCTGCTTGCTCCTAGTCTTCATAGCTGTGTCTCTGCCACTCCTGGTCTCAGATCCTTCCTCTATTTACCTCACTGAGATGGATGGTAAGAGATGTAATACCAGTATGGAGCACCCTCTCCAAATGTCTGCTAATATACTTATTTGCTGTCTTATCTGGTTTGTATGACATGTTAACTTGTACTGTGTTTTGACTCAAGTTGCAGCAATTTAATCCCAATCTGTATCCTGATTTGGGGTAGCTTCCCTACCGCTGCCGTGTCTAAAAATGCAAAAATCCAGGGACCCACCTTTTTGGTGCCATCTACTGGTTGCCTGGATTATGGCAGCCAAGTTGTAGAAGACTTAAACTTGCTTGCTTGCATTTAATTATCAAATTTATATGGCTGCCCATCTCACACGAAGTGACTTGTGCTGTTTTATGCAAAAAAAAATCGCTATTAAAACAATAAACAGTTATATTGAACACAGACACACACACACACACACACACACACAGAGAGAGAGAGAGACAGAGAGACAAGAGAGAGACACACAGAGAGACAAGAGAGAGAGACACACAGAGAGAGAGACAGACAGAGAGAGAGAGAGAGACAGCGAGAGAGAGAGAGAGAGAGAGAGACAGACAGACAGACAGACAGACAGACAGACAGAGATTCAGTCAGCAACATAGCATCTCAAGATGTCACCAGTCCCCTAAGACTGCCAGACCTGATGGGGTCCAGAAAGTCGAAAGGGATAGATCTGTCTTTACTTCAGAGGGGAGAATGTTCCATAAGATGGGTACCAGAGCAGAGACGGCTTACCTCCTCAGGCTGCTCTCAGTTCTTTGAGAAACAGGACTTGCAGCACAGCTCTCTTGCCAGATCTAACGAGAAAAGCAATTGGGAAAAACTTAATATAATACTCAAAACACAGTCCAATGTGATGACCGAATCTAGGTTGAGGTCTACATAATGGTTAAGCTTTGTCAATGCTCCGAGAATACAAGTATAGCCACTCCTGCAGCTTCATTTCTCCTCACCATACTTTGTTCCCTTCTCCTTCGCCACAGATGCTAGCAGGATCTGATTCACATACAGGGAGCAAAACTAAATAAAAATAAATGTTTGTAGATCTTGCCATCTGAGAATACCTGAAATGCTAATTCCTTTTCTGGTCGAACCAGGCCTCTGTTTGCAGGAAGTGATGGCCAGATGATGGATAAAGTGAGATTTCCCTTGGCTTTCCTTGACAATTACAGGTAGTCTCCGACTTACGGCCACAATTGAGCTCTAAATTTCTGTTGTTAAGTGAGGCATTCGTTAAGTGAGTTTTCCCCATTTTACGACCTTCATTGCCACAGCTGTTAAGTGAATCACTGCAGGCATTCAATTAGGAACACAGTTGTTAAGTGAATCTGGCTTCCAGAAGGTCGCAAAAGGGGAACACATGATCCAGGGACACTGCCACCATCATAAAGATGAATCAGTTGCCAAGAGTCCGAATTTTGATCACGTGACCATGGGGATGCTGCAAAGGTCTTAAGGTCTTAAAAAACGGTCATAAGTTACTTTTTTTCAGTGGCGTTGTAACTTCAAACAATCACCAAATGAACTGTTGTAACTCTGTATTCTGTCTGTAGGCAGGATGAGAGGGAATGGAATCAGACCTTGGGGCAGTTCAGTGTCTCCCTCTCTTTTCTAATATGTTAAAGGCTAAGCAAATGAGGAAGCAGATCTTAGCTAGAAGTAAGCCTTGTTACCTGGGATCACCAGGGTTAGGGAGTAAGCTTAACATGAACAATATTGCTGGCTGCAGCTAAAAAGACTTGCACTAAGAATCAATGTTAGGCAATGATAGTCAGAAGGAGCTCTGGGCTACTTCCAGCATTTGATGCCCCCTTGCCATAATATAATTTTTGTGATGGTGATTTGAACGCTTCCAAGCATATGTCTAAAATTGAGTTTCTTTTGAGTGTGAAACCAGGTTTAATCATCCTACCTTAACCCTCATTGGCCGCACCACAGAAATTCATTGAATTAGGTCACATTGGCTCAAGCAATTGTTGAAAGTTCTTAAAAGCTGCCTGAGGGTAGCAACAGTACAATTTTTGGCAGATAATATTGGCCACGCCTCTTGTTTAGCGAAAGCAGCCAAAGATCAGGATTGTAACTGGGTTATGGAGACGGGGAAATTGGGTAACATCCTTGCATTGTTGGGAGCTTACTAATTGCTCTACAGCATATAGGTGCCTCCTCAAATTTTAAAGTCCAGTTGACCAAGTAGAATATGATTTTAATTTTGCAAAAGTAGCTAGAAGATTCCTCTCAAAATAGATGCAAAGAACGTCTACAACCATACAGTTATGGTTTACAACAGTTCATTTAGTGACCGTTCTAAATTACAACAGCACTGAAAAAAAGTGACTTAGGACCATTGCAGCATCCCCATCATCATGTGGTTTACATTTGGATGCTTGACAGCTGGTTCATATTTATGATAGTTGCAGTGTGATCACTTTTTGCGACCTTCTGACAAGCAAAGACAATGGGGAAGTCAGATTCATTTAACAATTGTATTACTAAGTTAACAACTTCAGTGATTTGCTTAACAAATGTGGCAAGAAAAGTAGTAAAATGGGGCTGTTAGGAGATTTGGTTATATCCTCAGCCCCTGAAATATTGTTCCCCCCCCTTACTGTATTTTTCGGAGTATAAGACACACCTTTTTCCTGCATAAAAGGGGATGAAAATTTAGGTGCGTCTTATACACCGAATGTAGCCGCGCCCACTCACTGGCCTCCACTCTTTGGCCTCTGCCTCGCAGCAGTTACCTCCTTGCAAGCAAGAGGTAACTGCTCCTTTCAGCTTCAGCACAGCCTAATTAGCACAATGATTGGATCGCCTCCCGACTCTCAGCTGATTTGCTCTCAGCTGTTTTGCACAGGGCTCTGCTGCTTGCTGCAAAGAGGTAAATTGCTGGAGCAGATTTTTTTTTTCCCCTTGTGCTAATCAAGCTATGCTAAAAATGAAAGTAAAGCAGGCTGTTTGCTGTTTGCGGCAATGAGGCAAAATTGGGCAGAGGCAGAGGGAATTTCTTTTTCTTCTTTTCCTCACCAAAAAAGGTAGGTGCGTCTTATACTCCGGTGCGTCTTATACTCCAAAAAATACGGTAGTATTTTGGCCAAAGCCAAATAGCTGTAGTATGTCACTAAAAATACCATGGTCCACTATGTTGATTGAACCCAACTGTTGCTATTTCTTTGCTGCAGGTTATAGAAACAATATCCACTGCCTTGCCAAAGCTATCATCCAGGTGTCGGCTGCACTCTTCACCATCTACAACAAAAATATTGAGAGCCATCTCAAGGAATTTCTGGTTGTGAGTGGAACTCTTGATCTTTCCTGCATGTGTTATTCCTCCATGGGTTTTCAGGACTCCCCAAGTCTCCTTTATTTCTTTAGATCAGTACAATTAGGAGGCCATAGCTTAGTGGAGAACAAAGGTCCCTAGATTGTGAATCATTTCTCTCCCCTCCCCTCCCCTCCCCTCTTTTTTCTTTCTTTGCATTTTTTTCACATTACTTTTTTTTTTTACTTTCGTTATTTTTTTTCCCCGTCAACATTTGTATTGTTTTTATTCTTTTAAAAATAACCTAAAGACTATCTTTTGCTGGGGTTTAATTTAAAAATCAAATCAAAACATGTCTGTTGCATAACAAAATATTTCCAATGTTATTAATCTTTAAAAACACTCTTTTGAAACATCAGAGCATGGCAATTCATTTTCCTGAATGCTGTTTTGAATGATTTTAAAAAATCATTCTGGGAAAGAGAGATCCAAATGTTTTAGCAAATATACAGTAATGTATGACTAAAGATACCGCATTTGTACTGTGGGCCATTCCCTTCTGTTTCACACAATGGTCATTTTTATAAAAAGGCAACCTCTGAATTGTTCCCTTTGTTCTCTCCTTGCATTCACTTTTGATTTACTCTACGGAAAATTGGAGGTTGGTTTGCTTCTTTTTATTTTTACTGCTAGTGAAAGTAATTTGTTTACTGAGAAAGTCATTTCTCTTTCATTTGCTGCAGAAAGATGGAGACAAATTGTATTTGGTCAGATTTAAGGCTGATAATCATGATTGCATTTTATAAAATATATTCACTACGACAAAAATTATATATAGATCTAATTTTTATGGTTAAGGGAAAAATACATTGTCAATCAATTTCATTAGGTTTTTTTTTTAAGGAACTAGTATTTGAAACTGTGTATATATGCCTATAATGACTTTTGCTTAATATTGTATGTCCAGTCATTGTGGCCTGTTCAATATTGCTTAGAGCAGTACTATGTGAAAAACAATAGTACTATAGGCAGGCTAGCCAGGAGGGGGGAAAAAATCCAAAAGGCACCTGAAATCTTCTCCACCTGAAGATTTACCAAATAGCTGTGCATGTTCAGGCTTTCAAGTTTCAATGTTTTCTTCATTAATCAAAGTGATTAAAAATCGGGGGGGACAAAAGGAGGGGGATTGAAGTGAAAGCTAGATCTACACTGTGCACGTTAAGCCCAATTTGATTTTACCTTCTGCTCATTTTTCTTATTTGGAATCATCTTGCCTGATAAAGAATTCTTGAACACTTGAACTTGTGCAACTAGTTTGTAAATTTTCAGTCGCTGTCATAAAAATATTGCCTCAAGAGGAGTTTGGGCCTTTCTGGTGCCCATTATCTCCTGTTAACAACTAGCCATTCTCTTTTGGTCTTCTTTAAGCCCATATGTCTTTCTGATAAGAAACCTACGTTAAAGTTCTGCTTCCTTCCAATCTGCAAAAAGAAGAAAATTCATGCGGGTCACGCTCAGAAACACTGCCTCTCACAGACCCGACATTTGAGCTGCTACTTGGTAAAAAGAAAACAAAGGAATGGGGAGTCTGACTAAATGATCTTCTTGAGATTTTTCCAGTTGTCAGACTGGACACACATTTGCAAATTGGACACAGCTGTCTGCTACCCCTAATTCAGGTACCAGTTCCACGGTCTTGCAAATTCTCCTTGACCAAAGGCATTTCTCCTTGCTAATATTTCAAGTGACTCACATCTTGCGCAACTATATCATCCCACACAAATGTAAAAAAAAAAAAAAAAGGTAAACCCACCGGCTATTAGTGATGGATAGAGGTGCCACTCAGCATGATGGCTTCCTTATTTCTGGCCTCTGGGAATCAGTATATCTGTTAATTAGATACCACGGGAAGGTTGCCATTTCACTTGGCCATCCTGCCAGGTGAATGGGGATCATGGAAATGAGGAAGGGAGTTGTGGGCACTGGACAATCAGCTTTATTATACAGTTCCTGAGCTGGCACTTTGTGGGTAAATGTTGCTACCCTTTTCGACTAGGAGACTGCAATTCAACAGGGAGAGCACAGTAGAGGAAAATTCTTCACCAGTTGAGTCTCTGTTGTGAATCCCTTAAAACACCTCCCCCCCCGAGATATTATGCTTTTTAAATTATTTTAGGGTATGAGAAAAGATGAACCCTTGAAGAGGCTGCCCCAATCAAGTAGAAATGCATTATCCCAAAGGTCCAGCAACTGGACTTTCTGGTTTTTATTTGAAGACGTTTTGCTTCTCATCCAAGAAGCTTCTTCAGCTCTGACTAGATGGTGGGGAATGGAAAGATTTATATTCCTTGCAGACAGCTGGTGATTTGGATTTTTTTTTTAGAGAATTGTTGAAGCCACCTGGAGGTTTATCTGTGTCATCAGGGTCCCCTGAGTGGTGCAAATGGGTGTGGAGCCTTCTTGGAGCTGAAAGGACTGTGTCGTAGACACCAGATAGATGATGTCGTATCCCTCCCCCTCTGTTGAGAGAGAGCTGTTCAATTTTGACATAGATGGCCTTTTTGACCCCTGTTTCAAACCAGTGATTCTCTATGACAAAACATGCAGACTTTGCTGTCTTCAAAAGAGTGGCCTTTGTTTTTTTAAATGCAGATGGGCTGCTGAATCTTGTCATGATGGGTTTGTTCTCCTATGTTGTGCCACTTCATAAACGCAAACCATCCAGTCAGAGCTGAAGATGCTTCTTGGATGAGAAGCGAAACATCTTCAAAGAAAAACCAGAAAGTCCAGTTGCGTCTTGAAAAAAAAAGCACCTTTGGGACAACCATGACCTGGATGACTGAGAAGCTCCAGAGACATTTAGAAATGCATTAGTTTTTAACTGATTAAATTTACATATCATACAAACGGGAAAGCGTTTTTATGAGGGTTCTGAAAAGAAGATGAATGGGGTTTTTTTTCTGCAGAATTTACAATGTTTTAAATATTCTTTGTTTAAAGGAAGGTGATTTTCAATATTTTAATCACACCTGTGAAAAATGTGCATGCCTTGAACCTTTTAAGCTAATTAAAAAGAAAAAAGGCACATGCTTTGACCTTCGTGAGCTGAGGAGTTTGCTGATTGCCAAATATAGATAGTGCTCAACTTACAACTGAGCCCAAAATTTATGTTGCTAAGTGAGACACTTGTTAGGTTAATTTGCCCCATTTTACGACTTTTCTTGCCACCGTTAAGTGGATCACTGTAGTTGTTAGGTTAAAAACCCAGCTTATTAAGTGAATCTGGCTTCCCCATTGACTTTGCTTGTCAGAAGCTTGCCAAAAAGATCATATGACTGTCATAAATATGAGTCAGTTGCTAAGTATCTAAATTTTGATCACATGACCAAGAGGATGCTGCAACTGTTGTGTGAAAAATGGTCATAACTCACTTTTTTCAGTGCTGTTGTAAGTTTCAACGGTCATTAAATGAACTGTTGTAAGTTGAGGACCACCTGAATGTTTGGAAATGCAGCCTGGTACAGTATTTAACAATTTACCTGGTAGTCATAATCAACCCAGAATGCAAGAAAGCAAGCGAAAGGACTGACAGAGGAAAATCAAGTTGCTCCATTCTTTCTTCACTGGTCAGCTCCATTTCAGTGCTAGTAAGTGCCTTTCACTACTGACCAGATTGAAAATATAGCAGTGGAGAAAAGGGATTTGTTTCTGCATCAGCCTACTTGGTAAAAGTCAATTTTGTTCATTATCTCAAGTGTAGGCAGTAAGGCAGATGACCTTGTCAAGAGATATTCAGAAACTGTTGCCTAGGTAAAAGAGGCTAAGGCATTTTCAAGTCCAAAGCAATGAGGTTACTTTTGGAAATAGCTCAGGCAGGAACATCTCTCGATTTTCTGGATTATAAAAAGGAAGAGGTCAGGGGTAGGATTGAAAAATTTTAGCAACCAGTTCTCTGCCCAGTTGCTGGGTGGGTGTGGCCATGGGGGTGTGGCCTACTCAGCCTCCTACACCAGTGGTGGGTTCTAACCAGTGTTACCACCGGTTCTGTTTGCGCATGCGCTTTGCTCCACGCAAGCGTATTAGGTTTCTAGGCCAGCTGAGGTGCGGCAATCCACTGTGCCGTGCCTATCAGCTGGGCTAAAAAACAAGAAATAAAGGAATAAAGCGGGGGCGGATGGGAGGGCCCAGCTCCCAGTCAAAGAGAACCGGTTAGGTGACATCACATCATCACCACTACCGGCTCAGCTGAACCGGGCCGAACCAGGAGCAACCCAGCACTGTCCTACACCATAGGCTCTGGAAGCTTTCCTCAAGCCTCCAGGAGGGCGAAAACAGCCTCCTCCAGGGTCCGGAGGCCAGAAACAAGCCGTTTTCAGACTTCCGGTACTTCCAGTACTTCCGGTAGACCTGTTTTTCGCCCTCCTCAGGCTCCGGAGGCTTTCCTCAAGCCTCTGGGAGGGCAAAAATGGCCTCCCTGGGCTCTGGAGGCCCTCTGGAGGCCGGAAATGGGCCCGTTTTCAGACTTCTGGTACTTCCAGTAGGCTTGTTTTTCACCCTCCCAGAGCCTCCGCGCAGGTCCTGCACTTACCTCACATCCAAAATGGGCCACGTGAAGACCCCTGGGAGGGGTCAGCCAGTCTTTGCAACTACTGGTTCGACGAACCAGATTAAAATTAACATCCGGTTCACCCGAACAGGTCCGAACTGGCTGAATCCCACCCCTGGAAGAGGTACAGCACAATCAGACCTGCACGTTTCTCTCCTCATTGATGATACGGTAGCAATCAAAATAGTTTTAGCCTACCAGTGAATTGCTTCCCTGGCCAGGTCTGCGTAGTGGGTAGGGCAGGGTGCACCACTTGTCTGAGCTTGATAGCTAAGCAATGTTGGATTTGATTAATACTATGTGATAGACTATGAAGGCTCTAAGCTAGTCAGGAAAGTTGAACAAAAATAAATATCCAAGAAGGAAGCAGCAGTCAATGTTTTGCCTGAACTCAGCTCAATTTGAAGGATGGGGGAAAAAAATAGATGGGATAGCATCTATTGTTGATGGATGCTAGGATTGGGGCGGGGGTATGTGTATGTGCTGTTAAAAGAGCAAGAATTAGTTTTAACCCATTGGTAGATTTCCAGGAGGGGGAAAAAATGAAATTAGGCTGCTAGTAACCAGGCTGAATCTCTTGACACACCCTTGGACTCGAAATGCTTCCTTTCATTCTTTCTTGACGGAAATGTCAAAGTTCTGACTAATGAGCCGTGGTGGCGCAGTGGTTAGAGTGCAGTACTGCAGGCTACTTCTGCTGATCACTGGCTGCCAGCAGTTTGGCAGATCGAATCTCACCAGGCTCAAGGTTGACTCAGCCTTCCATCCTTCCGAGGTGGGTAAAATGAGGTCTCAGATTGTTAGGGGGAATATGCTGACTTTGTAAACCGCTTAGAGAGGGCTGTAAATTACTGTGAAGCAGTATATAAGTCTAAGTGCTGTTGCTGTTGCTAACGAACCCAGCCAGTTCAGCACTTCGAGATTCAGCTTTCTCAAAGGACTGTTTTATTGAATACATTATTTCAGCATGAATGAAAACGAAATCAGCTCTAAATATTTTCTGCGGTTTCAATATAATTAAAGAATAGATAATTCCCTCCCTCATGATCACAGGTCATATTGTCCAATTAGGTGTCCTGGCATCTCCTTGGCAACTCCCTTCAGTCTCTGGCCAGCCCCTATTGAGATGACCTTGGTTCCTACGGGATGGTTTGTTGTTGTCGTCTGGGCTGACATTCCAGACTCTCCCCCCCACCACCTCCCAACACTGTGTGGCAATCTGAGAAACGGAAAAAATGGCTGTGGCAGGCCTGATCCGTTTCGAGGTTGACAAGAAAACTATACGGGCATGAAATTGTCTGCCCTTATTGCTAATCTTATCCTTCATCTCTTTCCTACTAGTCATCTGACTTCCTTCCAAAGTAATGGGAATAAATTTTAATGGATTTTACCATCCTTGGTGCCAGAAAAAAAAGGGGGAAATACTACTTTTTAATTAAGGGTGATTCATGGGCACGGGATGACATGAAGGTAATATGGTATGGAAAATGTTTTTGGGAGTTCTATCGTATTGATGCAAGTTGGGAAAGGAAGATACCTTTCAGAATATCTCTAGAAAAAAGTGAAAAGTAAGAACCTAACTAAATCTTATAATCCTAAGAATTAGCAGTATATCTTGCAGTCTTTACACGTGAGGAAGGTTTTAATGGGAAATGCCCATTTCAATTTACATATGTATTAAATTTATAAAGCTACCCATCTCCCAAAAGGAACTCTTTTGATATAGTCAGTGCTCTCAAATATTAAAGGGAATTAACTTGAAATAACGGAAGACAACCCTTACTTACAGAGACCTTCTAATGCAATCAGTGAAGTCAGTCTGACAAAGATTTTAGTTGCTTGAATGGGATCCTGGATTTCAAAACACACACACACACACAGAGGCTCAGGAGAAAATATTATGTGTGTGAGAGACAGAGAGCATTTGGCTTCTTGTTTGAATGTTGCTGGGCAGTCCTGGCTTTTAAAGCTATTCGTAAAGCCATGAAAGCCAGCAGCTAGGTAACTTTGGGCCAGTCGCTCTCTCTCAGCCCAACTCACCTCACAGGGTTGTCATTTAGGGGAAAATAGGTGGAGAAAGATGTGCTAGATATGTTCACCACCTTGAGATATTTTTTAAAATAATAAAGGCAGAATATAATAAACAAACAAACAAACAAACGGCAGGTTTAGCATTGGCAGAGGGAAAATGTTTCACACAGCTCAGGACAGGGATAATAAGAGAGACCTTCCTGCCCTTCCCATGGAGTTTTGTCCTATCTAGGAGGGGAAGAGAAATGGATCTTATCTTCTTCCCCAGGGGAAAGAAAAACAGCTTGGGAAGAGCAACACTGAGGAGAAAGAAAGCTCATCTAGAAAGCCCTAGTGGTTTTCAGAGCGTTTAAGCTGTAGATAATAGATGTGAAACCCTGGGCCTGAAGTTGAGCTCAAGGGAGCAGCTGAGTTTGTTGCTGCTGTACTGTCCTTCCTGCTACCCAGAGATATCACTGCTTAAGATGTTTAATTCTGTCATTGAGCTCAGCAGCTATCCAAGATGGATAGTTCTGGGAGACTTTGCTTGTCTTCACGTGACAGAATTTGATGCAGCTCTGGAGATGTTGGCTACATGGACCTGACCCAGGGAACTGAGGACTTAATACACACTGATGGTCACATGGCATATGTGGGGCAATTGTGACATGATCTGAAGTTGGTAAACATCATCATCAGAAATATTAGATTTCTACTTTATAATAGATGTAATAACAGAAAGCCTGACAGCATTTCCTCTTCCCTCATCTTATATCAAAGAGCGCCAAGGTCAGATAATCTTGAAGTTCTTTCTCACGGATTCCTGTTTTCCTCCTCATATTTTACTAATAGTTGCTGAATATGTACTTCAACACTATCTTTGTGCTGCTCCATAGCATCTGATGGAGAAAGTCGCTTGGTTCCACTCTGAGTTAAATTCCAACTGGACAGGTCCTGACAAACTGGCCAAGACACAATCTTGTCCTGTTAAGTAAGAATTGTTCGTTATGGGATTCTTGAGGAGTTGGAAATGAAATGTTAGTCCAGTCACATGCCTATTAGATCTACGTTCCTTGTTTAAGGCTTCATAGGAGGTGACAAGTGGTTGGTTGCCTGTGATGGTAAATTCATCCTTGAAAGAGAGGGTGGTTTTTCCTGCCTTGAAGGAGTCAGAAGCATGCCTTCTCTTCAAAAAGCCATCACTTGACTCAATGGTTCTGGATAAATTTTATCCAGTCTAGCATTCTATTTTGGGTGAAGGTTGTTAAGAAAGGGGTCAAACCACAGCTTCAGGGTGCCCTTGAGGAGACAGATAATATGGACCATTTTCAGTCAGTTTTCAGGCCAAGGCACAGTACAGACACAGCGTGGAACACCCTTGTTGGTAAAGTGCGAATGGAAATGATAACAGTTGTCTTCATTCTTCTTGAACTCTTTGTCAGTGTATCAATCATGACATTCTTCTGGACTAGAAACAGGGCTTGGGAATGAGAGTTATGGTGTTGCTGTGATTGTCTTGCTTCCATTTGGTGTTGACAAGCGGAGAGAGGTCCAGCCGGAGTCTGTGATTTATGGTTTGCCTTGGGGCTCTATTCAACCTCTATGTAAAACTGCTGGGTCAGGTCAAGAAATGACAGGAGGTCAGGTATCATCAGTATGCTGATGATCCACAGGAGCATGAACAGTTAGAGGTGACTCTTGGTATGCCCATGTAACACTTCCAGTACTCCAGCTGCATTAGTTATCAGTTAACTGATGAATGCAATTCAGGATGCTTGTTATCACTTATGAAACCATTCATGACCTAGTTATCTTTCTGGGACCAGCTTTGTCCTATCATTTCTACCTACCATGTAAAATCCGACACAACCGGCACAGATTATGTTCATCCGTTAAGCAATCTAATACGATGGGACATAGAGAGACATACCTGCTTTTTGGAATGCTCAGAAATTTAAATTCTTCCAACCCACGCAAGCTTTTAAATTATCTACGAAAACCTACTATATTTCTTCCAGCTCTGGGGTAGGTTGGGGTGTGCCCAGCTAGTGTGCAGTATCTCTTTCGTTATATGGTTGTTCCTCCGCTACATTTATTTTTGTTATTTCTTATTTGTTTTAGGTACTGTATCTATTTTTAATCTGTACACCACCCATAGTCAGTGTTGAGTTGGACAGCTTTATAAATCTAAATTACAAATACATAAAATGTCCACTTCTGATTGTGGTTTCCATCTGAGAATAAATAGGACAAACTTTGATACTATGCTTGGTCTTTAAAACAGGGAGGTGGGTTGTCTTTTGTTCAAGCATGAGTGCACTTTGTAACCCACCAAAATTTCAATGTCTTGTTCTGTGAGGTCTAATAATTTCCTCAACTTGACCAGTATTCTTTTTTGGGAAAGAGTTTAGATCTGCAGTTTACATTTTAATCATTTCAATTAAATCTCATAGTTCTAGTTTTTGTTATCATTGGAAAACTGACTGAAGTTCTGTTATCTTTTCTTTATCTCCATAGCTGGCTTCTGCTAGCATCTCACAGGGAGGGCAAGAAGTTGATCGGATGAAAGCCAAAAACTGGGAGTCCATCTCATTGCTCCTGTACCTGGTAAGTGTCTTAAAGGTTAGGCCATTTTAGGCTATTAGATGTGTGTTTCTTTAATACTGTGCTTCAAATAAATGAGAATCAGATTAGATTGCTTTATTTTTTTCCCAAGGTAATATCTGGAGACAGAAATAAAAACTTCTAAGGTAGAAGTGAGTAACTTGTGACCTGCAAAATGTGTTCAATCATCTCCATCAATTAAAACTAATACAAACAGTGGTGAAGGATGCTGTTTGAGGTGTAGTAGCTAGCAGGCCAGATAGTCCCTATCTCTGTGCTAAAAGCACAAGGTTGTAGAGACCAGGAGTAAAATCTGATCCAACGTTAGAGTAGAGTAGAGTAGAGTAGAGTAGAGTAGAGTGGAGTGGAGAGTGGAGTGGAGTGGAGTGGAGTGGAGTAGAGTAGAGTAGAGTAGAGTAGAGTAGAGTAGAGTAGAGTAGAGTAGAGTAGAGTAGAGTAGAGTAGAGTAGAATAGAATAGAATAGAATAGAATAGAATAGAATAGAATAGAGTAGAATTTTATTGTCACTTTAAATGTACACTAATCAGCATACATTAAAATGAAATTTCGTTGCATTCAGTTCTCCAAAGATAGCCATTATGTACAATATATACCCACATACTGTATACACACCTATATGACACAGAGAAACATCACAGTCTAGTTCAGATGTATACATATACATCGCGAGAAAAACAAATCTTGTGAGTTTACCAGACAGATGGCATAGGGAACAAAGCTATTACAGAATCTCATAATCCTGCTAGAAATATTTCAAAACCTCCTTCCAGAGGGGAGCAACAGAAACAGGCCGTGAAGTGGGGATGTGGTGCCTCTAATAATGCTTTGAGCTCTAAGCACATAGTGCTTATAAGCAGTTTCCCAAATAATGGGAAGCGAGCTTCCTATAATCTTCTTAGCTGTCCTTACCACTGTCTGTATGGACCTTCTATCGGAGGCACTGTTGCCAACAAACCAAACGATGCACTTTGTTAAAACGCTCTCAATCGTCCCTCTGTAAAAAGTGGCCAGGACAGAAGGAGAAAGATGTGCTCTTCTCATCTGATGCAGGAAATGAATGCTGGTTTGCACTCTTCACTAAATATAACATATGAAGAAGCCAAGTCAAATTGTTAGTTATCTGCACCTCCAGATACCGCTACTTAATGCTATTTACCATCTCCACAGCTGCAGCCTTGATACAAAGTGGAGCATGACTATGCTGGCTCTTTCTAAAATCTGCAATGATCTCCTTTGTTTTGTTAACATTCAAAACCAGGTTATTTTTTTATTAATAACTAACATTATTAGTGGCGCAGTGGTTAAGAGTGCAGTACTGCAGGCTACTTCTGCTGCCTGCCGGCTGCCTGCACTTTGGCAATTAAAATCTCACCAGGCTCAAGGTTGACTCAGCCTTCCATCCTTCCGAGGTGGGTAAAATGAGGACCCAGAGTGTTGGGGGCAATAGGCTGATTCTGTAAACCGCTTAGAGAGGGCTGTAAAGCATTGTAAAGTCTAAGTGCTATTGCTATTATTCTAAGAAATATCATCAAATCCACCATGGTTGGTTGGTTGTTTTTCCTCTTCCCTCCTTCTTTCCTTTTGCATCATGTCTGTGAAAGTGTTGTCTTTCTAAAACTCTTAGAAAAGCTGTGAAACTTTAGAGGACATTAATAATCATGAAAAATATTGTTGAGAAATATCTGTGCTGATCAGATCACTTTGCTTGGAGCTTGCTGGTGGCACCCACATTGAAAGCCAACACGGTAATACACATGTTCCAAATTAAAGGACCAGAGGACCGCTGATTAACTGATTGATAATTTTGTGCCATCAAGTTGTTTTCGAGTCCTAGCAACCACATAGATTCAAAGCCCAGAGAATCACATATCTTCATATTTCTATGTAACGATTTGTCTGTGTATACATGCAGTAATTGGCTGTGTGTAAACAGATATTTAAGGTTGCAACATTTCAACTTCCTTTCTTTAGTAATCCCTGAGGGAAGATACAAGAACTTCCTGATCAATGAAAGACTCTGCTCATGTGGGAATGTTATGTTAGAAAAACTAGTCCATATTCTAACCTCTCCTTTATAGGGATATTCGCTGAATCTAGGTAACAGCCTCCTAATACAAAACATCCCATTTGTACCCAATGTATTATATGTACATTATCTACTTGAAGATAAAAGAGTTTAATATGGCAGGGGAAGTAGCCTAATTTTATTTGGCAGCCTGCCAGATACAGCTGCTATAAGGAGGAACATAAATCAAGACAGATAAGAATTACTGCTTTTTGTATTGTTTTCATGGACGTTTCAATAATTGACATTGACCTGTAACAGTAATAAAGAGACAGATTGTCTGGCTGATAAATCTGGTTATACCTTAAATATTTTAATAATTTAGTAGTGTATTAATATAGCATTTTGGCATTTCAGTAGTTTGGTATATTAGGATTTTAGTTTTTCATTTGTTTAGTAATTTGGTCTTAAGCATTTTAGAGAGTCTTTTCTTTTTTCCCTTTTTTTCTAGTATTTTAGATAATGTATGAATATGATATTTGAGCTTGTTCTGTGTTAATCTGCATCATTTGCTTAGAGATGTCTTTATGTGTTGTAGCTCTTTATGAACTGTACACAGCCTTGATCAGTGACCATAAAACAAGTGATGAATAAAAATCATTGTACTTGAGGAAACCTACTTTGGAAAGAAACTGAGCCTACAGTCCTAAATCATAATGGTTATAAACTGGATTGTCGCATGACCAATCCAATTTTATGACTTTTTTTGCAGTGATTGTTAAGTGAATGCTGTGGTGGTTCAGCAAATTTATTGTACACTATGGGTGTTTTTTCCCCCCACCCAGAAACTGGAAAAACATCATAAATCATAGATACGTGACTGTGGGACTCTCCAAATGGCCATAAATTTAGGCTGGTTGCTAAGTGTGAAAAATGTGGTGTGTGACTGAGGCTCCTCTCCACTCGTTGTAACTTCAGAATTGGTCATAAGAACTTTTTTTTTGGGGGGGGGGGGGTTGTCATAACTTTGAATGGTTGCTAAGTGACCAATTGTAAGTCATGGACTTTCTGTAATGAAAACTGTTGCACCACAGACTGCTGCTCCACTTTCTAAAAAACATTTACCATGGGTGGATTCTAAAATGTTTTACTACCGGTTCTGTGGGCGTGGCTTATTTTGTGGGCATTGTTTGGAGGTCATGTGACTGGGTGGGCGTGGCTTGCTGGTCATGTGACCGGGTGGCCATGGCTATGTGTATAGGAATGAAAAAAGTCATTTCTGACAGGTCCTCGCACTTTTGACTGGTCCTCACACTTATGACCATCCTCAAATTTATGCCCGTGCTGTATTCTTAACAACCATGTCACTCATTTCACAACTGCTTCTCTTCACCATGGTGACAAGATAGGGCAAAAAACATAAAATGTGAGGACAGTCGTAAGTTCGAAGACTGGTCAAAAGTGCGAATGTCAAAAATAACTTTTTCAGCCCTCTGAGTAGTCCATATGCACAAAAGGACTACCCAGAGGGCTGAAAAAAGTGATTTCTGACAGGTCCTCGCACTTTTGACCGGTCTTCGCACTTATGACTGGTCATCATTTATGCCCATTGTAGCATTCTTAACAACCGTGTCACTCATTTCACAACTGCTTCTCTTCACCATGGTGACAAGATAGGGTGAAAAACGTAAAATGTGAGGACCGTCGTAAGTTGGAGGACTGGTCAAAAGTGCGAGGACCATATCGTCACCGCTACCGGCTCGGCCGAACCGGGAGGAACCCACCAGTGATTTACCATTGTCATAAAGTAGCACAAAATCTGCAGCAAATAAGCCAAGCTACATGACATGACTTACAATATGAGGAAATAGTTGTTAGATGTCTCTCGTTTAGAACGAGAGAAACTGATCAATACTTATTATGCATTTTTGGTCTTATTATGCATTATGTTTTTTTGGTTGTACTAACATCTCCTCCACCAGATGACAATGATAGAGACAGCAAATATCACTCCTTCTTGGGCAGTGGGGGGTTACTATTACTGGGCTGGACATCTTGGGTTGGTAAAAAAAGCTGCCCTGGTTGGAAAAGACAACAAAGTGGTCCTTGTAGCAGCTCAGGTGATGCATCTCCATTAGGGGCTCCCTTGGCAGCAGGAGATAGTTATTGATTTTCTTGCTGATGGGAGGAGATGGCTCAGCCAGGTGGGGCTCTGGCTTCCTGGGTGGGATTTGATATTCTTCACTGGCCACATAGCTTTTGCAGCAAAGCAATTTAAATGCAAATATTTCTCCCCTGAGTGTGTGAATGAGTTAGCCTAGCCTGGTATTCACTCATTATCCCAATTGGAGAAGAGGTATAGCTGCTTCATCAGCATCACCTTTGGCAGGGCCCCATTGCTACAGTAACTCCTGCTGATCGTCATCAGATGTGCTGGATGGTCAGCAGTATTCTAATTTCTGCTGTGTCCATGGTGGAGAAAGAATGCTGCAGTCTGTATCATACACAGCCAAAAATCAACAGACAAAGAGATAGAATCTCCTTCCCTAGATACCTTCCGAAAAAGATCAAATAGATATTTTATTTAAAAAAAACAAAACAAAGCAAAGCAGCCCTTAAAGCTGTGGAATTGTCATAGAAACAAGGAATCGGGAATAAATTTCACAATCCGCCAAGACTGTAGAATAGACAAGAGGTTGCAGTTGTTTGAGATGGACTTCGTTTGGTGTCTGTGGTCCCAACAGATTTTTGCAGTTCTGAAACAGTATTTTAAGAGTGCCACACCTCTTATAAAGCAAATGAATTTGTCTTCTTCGGGAAACAAACCCTGAATGCGAATGTGATATATATATATTGTTTACAAAGATAGCCTGACTCTTTCCAGAGTCCAGAATAGAATCTGGATATTTTATCAGGCAGGATGCTTGATTCTAACCTGTTGGTCAAGTGGCAGTCTTAGGTAACCCAGTAAATTATTTCTCTGACTTATTTCTGATTTTATGTATCTCTTTCAGCTTGTGGAAGAGTCATCCTTCTTGACCGTTGATATGCTGGAGACCTGCTTCCCTTATGTGCTGCTGCGAAATGCTTACCGTGAAATCTCCCGAAACTCACTTTTGAGTCGTGTCTCTGCGCATTGAAAAGCCTTCCCTTCTGGCCATCCATCCGGATTGCCAGATCATAAATGCAGAATATTTGGATAGGAAGGATAGTGGATGCTTTGGCCAAGCTGTCTCTTTGACCCTTCAACTTATTGTCTAAAGAGAACCAGTCCCAGCTTCTTGAGTGCTTAGCTAACATTTGATGGCCTTTGTTTTGGCCAGTATTACTACTAGTCTGAAATGTATAACCATTTGATGGTTGCCATCAAAGTTTTCTGGGTACTTATTGGTAGAATGTGCTATGTTTCACCAGTTGCGGTTTTTGTGGCCTTTGAAAAATGTCTGCTTGGACTGACCAGCCTCCAAATAAATCCCAAAATATTCATTCCGGTCACCTGTGGAAAAAAGAAGTCTAAATATTTTTCAGCACACATTAATTCTTTCAATCCACCAATTAGGTTGTAAGCTTCTTAGGATAAGCACCAATTTTTGTAAATATATATATATTTATATATATTTTGCAAATAAAATTATAAATGAATGATTATAGTAATCACTCCTGGAAAAGAAACAGCCGACAGTCTTGTATTCCAAGTATGTGTCAGAAAATTTAATCAGTCTGATTATTCTTTTTGGGTTTTTTTGTTTTGAAAACAATCATGGGAATTGTCAACAAGGAATAGGGAAGACATTCCTTATATTATCTACCCCTTATGTCCTTCCCAGTCCAAATACCAATTGATGCACTGGCTTGAGATGGAAACTGTAGCCCAAAGCATTAAGACTGTACTAATGATTGGGAATAATAAGTTAGGTTTACACTTGCTAAGCCATGGTTTCTTTAACAAACCACCATAGCTGGATCACACAAAACTAATCTAAAAGCCTTGACAGAAGGATGGCAGGTACCTTGATGATCCTTTAGACATGCTTGATATCTTTGGATAATAATAAACGTGAATCTATCTTCAAATTTCTTCGTCTCTTTCTTCTCCTGGCCTAATAACATCTAGGAAAGCGCACAACTTGCCCCACATGATTCTGAGGATGAAGAAAGAACAATATTTGTTCTGTATAACCTGAGAATTCATTGGAATGAACATATACACACACACACTTGGCAACCTTTTAGAAATTCTTATCTAAACGAGAAACAAAATGATCACAGCCAGACAAAAAAGAATGGGAGGTTAAGCAATTCCAATTTCATGCTGGCTTCCCCACTGACTTGTGGAAAGCTGGCAAGGAGTATAATAAATAATTTTTTTCTCCTCTTTGGCTGACTTGTGGAACTTCCTGCCACTTTGCTGAAAGGCGGGGGAACAGGTCTCAGCCCCTCTGGAGCCGCCAGTGCTTCACAGTGCTTCATAACAGGGAGTTATGGACCGTGAGGAAAACTGCACCCCCTCTGTCCATTCCAGCATGACCCCAAAGGATGCTTCGGGGAGCAAGAGAACACCCTTTACCTCACAGGCATCCCAGTTGAACCCTCATCCTTCCATCCGTGCCCACTGCCCCTAACAGAATTCATATTTCAGCCTCTGTTCCAAAGCAGCCATTCGCTGTTCACCCTTTGGGACTTACAGCCAGCCATTTGGATGCAGCAGTGGGAGCAGGAGCCATTTCCATCTTCCTACCGGCTTCCCCACTGACTTTGCTTGTAGGAAGCTGGCAGGCAGCATTGGAAATGACTCCTCGGCTGACCAGTGGAATTAGTCCACTGGTCTAATTTCAGAAGGAGACTTTGCTGAGTGGAGAGGACAATGGAATGACCACATGGACAAAAAAAGCAGTGGGAATGACTTACGGCTTCCCCATTGACTTGTCTTGTCCAAAGCAGCCAATCCCTGCTTGCCTGTTGGACCTTGCCACCAGTGATTGGATCCAGGGAACAAAGGGTGGGAATATAGCCCAGCCATCTTCCCTTGTGCCATACAGCCTATAGGTTGTTATGAAGCATGATTGAAAAGCATGATGGCATTGAAGTGGCCACGACTTCCTCAAATTTCATTCCCACGGGAGTCCTGGCATTCTTCTGTAAGTTAGCCGATTCAAGTTTACCTTGGTTCAATAATTGTTGCCCTATACTTTCCAATACAGACCCAAGAGTTTTGGTAGTATATAGATCTATTGTATACAAATCATTCTTGTTAAAAAAAATTATAAAGATTTTAAAAATTACAGAAACCCAAAAAATAGTAAGAAATAGAAATAAATTATAAACGGCAAAAGAAAGGGCGAAGAACAGTGGTGAAATTCAGCCGGCTCTATCTGGATCGTGCGATCCGGTAGCGCCGGCAGTGGGAGGCTCCGCCCACTCACCCAGATGTCACCACGTCCCGTTTTTGACCCTCTCCGCATGTGCAGAAAGCTTTGCGCATGTGTGGAGGAGGCGATCGCATTTGCAAACCAATAGCGAAGGTAAGTGAATACCATCCCTCGTGAAGAATAACAAAAAAGGAAGAAAAATATATCTAAATAAGCAACTTCATAAACATGCCAATTACCATCTCTTCCCTCTCACCTTGCCTATCATGGTTCCCTTCTTCCCATAAACAAAACTTTTTAATCAATAAATCCCATTGGAATCTATTTTTAAACAATCATTTCAGTAATATCATTATTCTCTATTGCTTAAGACTTTATTGTGTTCTTCCTGTGAACAGTTTTGGGAATCCCTGGCAGAATCTGCTTCTGAGAAAGACAACTTCAGAAAGTCAGATGACTGAAAGCAGCGAAGCGGGGAGTAAAAGGATGTTTAATTCTTCTGCCTGCAGGGAATTACCTTTTTCCAAGCTCTTTCTTCCTGCATACGACAGAAGCTCTCTGTTTGTGTTAGCCTTGTTCAAGTGTACTCAAGAACAAAGTTTTATATTAGAAAGGTGAGTCAGAATGAGCCTCGGGCTCCCATGGCAATTTTGCATTGATGTCAGGGGAGGCGGGCATGGAGGGAAATATTCTATCTGTCTTATGTATAATTTTATCCTTTTTTAATATGGTCCGCTGCATAGTCACCTTCCTTGCCACCCCCACCCCAATTCCCCATCTTCATGGTAAAAAACAACAACAACAAGATTTTGCAAATGGGTCATCATTGCTCCCTGGTTTGTAAGTCCCCTCAGTGTATAAGCCTGGCTTTTAGAAGGGCAAGAAAGAGAATGGCAGACTTTTAAGTCAGTGGTGGTGCATCTTTGACACGTGTCAAAGGTGACACGCCATGACATTTGGGATGACATGCTAACCTTCACCAACACCTGTCTGAAGGCCAAATCTGTCTCTAGGCCAGGGGCGGGTTTCAAAACCCGTCGTTACCAGTTTGCGCATGGGCGCCCGCGCTCATGCGCGATGCTTTTTGGCGGGTGGGCGGAGCCTTCCGTTGCCGCCGCTACCATTTGCTCGATCCAGGGTGAACCAGTAGCAACCCACCACTGCTCTAGGCTCATGCTTCGGTATGCATGTTTTTCCAATGAAGCAGACCAAGACAGGAAAACCATTTTATTAACAATTTAGGCAGCAACTATTATCAAAAGTATGCCTTGTCCTATTTTGAAGATGGTGGAGGCCACACAAGAATGGGGTGTGCTCTTGCACAGCCTCTGGAGTCTGGACCCTCCAGACATCACATGAGGAAGCCATGTCTTTGCGCATCCTCAGCAACCTCCCAAAATCACACAAGAGTGAAGTGTGCTTTTATGTGCAGAGGCTTGGGAAGTCCATTTTCTGAAACAGCTTTAAGAACAAAGGCTTCATGTGACCCAGAGCAGCCTCCAGTAGGCCACAGGGCCTGTCCACAGGAAGGGAACATTGCCTGAAGGTAAGCGGTGCATGGCAGATCCTAGGGAGTGCTGAACTGCATACCAATTGCACTGTTTCCCAAGGCTCACATGCCTTGCAAAATGGTGCGAAGCAGCACTTTGGTTAAAAGCAGTGGCACTGGGCTAAAATCGAGGCTCAGGCCTCTTCTTCAGGCCCAGTCTTAGCGCTACCACTGAATGCCTCTGTTCAGGATGGGCTAGATGGGGGAGAGATAGAGAATTGTTTCTCTTTTGTTTTTTGTGTGTGAATGAATGTGAGACACGCCAACAGATTCAAGTTAGACATTTACCAAATTTTGGACATGCTGAATCCAAAAGCTTCGCCATCATTGCTCCAAGTAGAAGTCTATCATCTTCACCTAAAAGATGATAAATTGTCAATCTAGAACTACAAGCATCCTCCTTTAAGTGCTTAAGATACTCCAGTGCCTCTCCAAAGTTGCTACTGGCTTTTAAGATGATGATGATGATGATACATTTGAAAGAAAAGAAAAACACAAACATGCATACAAAGTGGCTAAAAGGAAAAATAAACCTCAAAGTGGATAAACAAGGAATTGACCACCCATAGAATTAGGTTAATTTTTTCAATAATTCATTGATTAGTTTTAAATAATAAAATATACTATATATAATTTTAAATACTAAAATCATTATAAAATCTATGTAATACAGTATATACTGTATCATACAATGTGATTAAGAATCACAGTAATTTCTAACTGAGCAATTGAATAGTTTATCTTAAAAGAAACCCAAATATTGGATGTAATACTTGCTCCTACATAGAGTGACAATCATAAAATGATTTCTAAATGGACTTAAATTCTGTCTCATTTATTCCTGAAATGTCAAATTTGGAGCATTGAGATGTATTCCCAGCACTTAATTAGCTATTCTTCTACAGTCTACCCTCTAATAGGAAGCATAGATTCTCCTTGCAGCAGTTACTATGTATAAAAAGATAATTGAGCTTACTTTGTCAAAATTCTGTAATATATTATTTATAAAATAACAGATTGGAAAAGAAATTCACTTGTTAAAGTTTGTTTCATTCATTTATAAATCATTTTTCAAAGTTGTAATTTCGGGTTGTCATTTTTAATATGGCAGGAGGGGAAATTATCAAATATCTGGTGAATATGCATTATTTACACAGAATATGAATTTAATTACATTTTCATTGTTACTCCATCTATATTTTACGCTGCCTCTTGCTGCTACTCCTCTCCATTACTACCCTGTTCAAAAGCTGAGGACCCCTCAGAACTACTAGGAGAAAACTTGTTCCTCATGAAACTGGCTTAGTTGTTCAAAAATAAAACTTAGCCAAAAGCTCTGAAAAGCCTACATTTTATACTTGGTCTGTCTGTCTGAAAAAGGATATAGTTTTGGGTGGGGAAAACAGAGATGAGAGCAACCAATACCTCCCCTAGGATGATTGTTTTAAGATGTTGGTGCTTTTAGAGTAGAAAAGCAGACTTGAGAAAAGGAGACAAGAGAGTTTTATATACAGGAACATTTTGTTTCTTTTTCAGTACTCAGGTACTTGAAAATGAACTCTTAGGCAAACAGAGAAAAGCAAAGCTTTTTTTTTTTTTTTTTTAAATGGAATGATGTTTTACCACTTGCTATGCCAAATATTTTGTGATAATTTCTGGCATGTTTACATATATTTTTTTAAACCGACAACCGCATGGTCTCCTAGAAGGTGCACATGAGAGCCAGCGGTATGACAAATGTGTCTCTGATTCTTGCGTACTTGGAGCACCTACCGTCTGCTACAAATCCTGATAGTGCTACCCATCATTTTGGCCTTTTCTTTTCGATCCTATCAGGAAAGTAGATCTATTCAGGATCAGAATGAATAGAGGTGACTGGCCTTATGGCCCTCTTTCCAATTTAATTTGGCTCCTAACCAGAGGTGGGATTCTACTGGTTCAGACCGATTTGGGCGAACCGTTAGCTCAAACTTTCAGCCGTGAGCGAATTGGTTCTCTTTCTTTGAAATGGGCCCACCCGCCTGCCCCTGCATTATATTCACCTTTATTTCTGCTTTCGAAGCCCAGCTGATTGGGGTGGCAGAGTGGATTGCTGCTCCTTAGCTGTTTTCCTTGCTCTCAGCAATGCAGAAGTTCAATTTTCAGCAAACTGCACA